TGTAATATTTCACACAGGGGAAAATTGTTAGGCAAATTTTGGTGAGTTTTATGTATGTTTAGACCCTCAAACAGGTCTGTCATTTAGAAAAGAATAATAAAGATTTAAGTCATAAAGAGATCTTGACAGCTCTTCTCTAAAATAGGAATTTTATTTTATTATTATTAACAATGCCCAGACTGTGCCAAAGTTCTCGCTAATATCCATCAAATATTTAAATGTTTCCTGCAGATGTAAAGCAGATGCTGGTGGTTAAAGAAGAGGATCCTGTAGACCACCTGGTAGGTGCTGAGCTGCTTGATCCACAGCCCCCCCACACGAAGGAGGAACAGGAGGAGGTCTGCATCAGTCTGAGGAGAGAGCTGCTCAACAGCAAGGAGGAGACCATCAGTTTTCCAGTCAGTGTTCCTCCCTTTGAGAGCGTAGATGATGATCATTGCCCTCTGATCCTACAGCGTCATCAACATCAAGTTAAAGACAAAGATGTTCTGGGAGAGGAATCCATCAGGGTGAAAGATGATGGAGATTGCTTCATTGCCTCAGATGAAGTAAAACCCTGCATCTCTCAGCTGAAACATTTGTCTGAATCTAGACTGAAACCTAAGGACGTGAATGCTGACTGGAAGGAGGGCCCAGAAACAGGATCCTCACCTTCTCTGGATGATGAAGATACTCGTCTTACAGAGAAGGACGACGAGGACTCAAGAGGGAAAGTCCAGACAGGAAACATGTTTAGGTGTAAAGACTGCGGTGAAACATTTCCTGAAAAGGGAAGTTTAAGCATCCATAAGAGAATCCACAAAGAAGAGAAAGCTTCCTGTTGTGATGTTTGCGGGAAAAGTTTTACACGGACACATAATTTGAACAATCACATGAGAATCCACACCGGAGAGAAATCCTTCTGTTGTGATGTTTGTGGACAAAAATTCACCCTAAAGCCGAGTTTAAGAGTACACATGCGAATCCACACGGGACAGAAACCCTTTTGCTGTGACTTATGTGGACAAAAATTTAACCAAAAATCAGCCTTGAACACACACGTGAGAATCCACACAGGAGAGAAACCGTTCTGTTGTGAGATCTGTGGGCAAAAATACGTCCAACTATCAAACTTGAAAGCACACCAGAGAACTCACACAGGAGAGAAACCTTTTGGTTGCGATCTATGTGGACAAAGATTTAGCCATCCGTCAACTTTAAGAGCACACGTGAACATCCACAGTGGGGAGAAACCTTTCTGTTGTGAAATCTGTGGGCAAAGATTCTGTCAGAAAACACAGCTAATTACACACATGAGAACTCACACAGGACACAAACCTTATGGCTGTGAACTTTGTGGACAAAGATTTAGTCACAAAGTAAGTTTAAGGACACATATGAGTATCCACACTGGACAGAAACCGTTTTGTTGTGATTTATGTGGACAGGGATATAACCAGCAAGCAGGTTTAACAACACACATGACAATCCACGCAGAACAGGAGCCGCTCTGTTGTGATATGGACAAAGATTTAGCTGCAAATAGTCATGAGAATTAAAACGGTCATAGAATGATTCTATAGGGTATCTGGTCCTTAAGGTCTCTAATAAGGTGTGTAACATTGGTTGGGCTGAAAATGGCATATTAGCTGTTCTATGAGCCCTAATGCAGCCTGGTTAAAAGCCCTAGAATGAAACCACAGGTTTCTTTCTTTTATGGTATGATCATGAATATTTGGATGAGCTGTGCTCTGATTGGTTGGTTTACACCGAGGTAAGCTGCAGAGCAAAGACGCATCATAGCAACAAGCACCAAATTGTTGATATGGTAGGATGTCCTACTTTTCAGACTTAAAAAAATGTTCGGGAGGAATTTCAAAATCATCCGGGATTTTGGTCGACTACAGTGCAGCAGAACCAAGCCGTCAGCTCCGGGGCTGGTCCGGGAACCCCAGTGGGCAGGGGCATGGAGCCAGCGGGGGACGGAGCGACCAAATCTGTCCCGGTGATGGTAGCCTGGACACCGGCGGCTCATGCTTCACCCCTTCGCCTGCCTTACCGGGACGTGACAAAAGTCCAGGCCAGAACCACATAAGGCAACGTCCCCGAATTGACGTCACCTCGGTGCTTCGTTTGGATTCGCCCGTTTTATGGTGGAGGTTTGGAGTTGTAAGATTTGCAGAAAAAGGAGGGGTTGATGGAGTTTGAACTTCTCTGTACGTCCATTTCAGCCACTGAACTATCGTTATTCATCTATGACAATTTGCACTCTATGGCCCCTTTAAGGCTGCATAATATACTGAATATTTAAAGCAGGGCAGCCACTGTGAGATATTTTCATTCATTGCACGCTGATACAGCTCAAATTGTACTGTAGAATATAAATATCTGGCTGGCTTGCCAAATATGGCAGCAGTTGTACTGCGTAATGTAGTCCTGTGTCTGACATCATGCTCACTTAGCAACACAGAGGAAGCAGGATGTAAGAAGGGCATCTACATACTGGGCATCACGTACGAATCTGGGCAAAAACAGGGTTCTTACTGGCTGACTCCCACGCAATCAGGTCATAAGCTAAGAGATTTCCAGGAAGAGCGTCCAGTCGTGCAGGTGCATCCACACAGTGCGATGTGGAAACTATGAATGCCGCCTAGAATGGACTGAAGGTTGGGGGGATAACTGAATTGTGACGATGCATTGCTGGATGTATGAAGTGTTTAAGACAGCTGTATGAATTCGATTTTGTAATTAAATGTGTCCCCCCCTCCGGATGATAAAATGGTGTGAATCGTGGCCTTCTTTCTGTCATAAGGGAATTCTACCAATGAGCTTCCATAGTAAGACTAAACTACATGATTTAAAAGTTTACAGCTCACAATGTTTATCCTCACACTGTGCAGCCCGACGCTCTGATGCCACCTTACAACGGCTGACTGAATTTTAAACATGTTTGATTTTCAAGGTGGTCGCGAGAGCCTGATCGCTCCTCGTTACCCCCTTGACACTACACCGCGCACGACATGCGATCAGATTGAAAGTTGGCCGGATCAAAATATTCTCCCACGAATGGAGAATCGGCCCGAAAAGGGCAAAAAATCGTACAGTGTGTGCCCGGCTTCAGGTTGGCCCAGATGTTTGCATTTATGCCATACATCTGTGTTTTGTCACAAGCAGTTTTTCCATCCAGATGTCATGCCACAAAAGATAAAAAAATACAAATGAATACAAACAAAGTTGTGAATCAGATGTTTCCTTCCATTGGAGCCAATTAACCAGGCATAAAGTCATGTGTTTAGATTATTCTAGTCTGTAAACAGCTAGTCTGGTTTTGGTGAAGATACTGGAATCAGGGAAGTTGCGCTTACTTTATCACAGCAGCTACTTTTAGCACTGATACATGTCATCCTCTAAAATATGGAAGCAAATCGTTACCATATTTAAGAATGTGGCTGCATTGTTTGACTCTTAAATGAAATTAGTAATCATCCTGTTTGCATTTTCATTTCCTTCTTTAACACTGCTCATCCTTTTACTTAATTAAAATTGAAAAGAAAAACACATTTGAGATTTACTTTTCAAAATGTACCCCAGCAAATACATACCAAAATTCAATTTGAACTGTAAAATTTGTAAATGAAAAAGCATTTCCAGAAATGCTTTTTCATTTTAAGAAAACCTTCACAGAGCTGCTTTGAAACTGAAATAATTCAACTTTTAGAATTATCACTAAATAGATTGGATAGTTTTTGCAAATGTTTAGAAGTTATAAAACAAATCATCTTTTTCCTCTTTGAATATATATATTCAATATATATTCAAATATAACTACTGTTGTTGTTAGTCGGTCAAAATGTGATTTCAAATTATGAAAGTTTAGTTTTTCACAATGGAATAAACATGTTTTACAGTTTGAAATACTGTTAATGTTTTTTTATTATTTTGAAATGTTTGTATTTAATGAATTTGAATATTTTTTTTCTTCACATACTTCTGTCCTATCTCTGTGTTTTATAATAAATTTGTATGAAGATCTGATCCTCAAAAGAGCAATAAGCGATATTAACCACTAGGTGGAGCTGGAGTAAAGAGAAACGTCTTCAGACTTGGAAACAAAGTCAAACCTGAGAACTGATTAATGTGATTAATGATGGCTCTGTTCGAAAACCTAGGACGGGTCCT